GGTTTTGCCGACCCTCCTATGGACCAGGTCTCCTGGGGACGCATGTGCGTTCTACGTCTGGGGAAGCCTTGCTCACGTCCGCGACACACGCGGGGACAAGCTCTCAGACTGCACCCTTCCTTGTGTCTACTTGGGGTTTCCGTTTTATGCCTCTGACTGCTTTTCTACCACCCGTCACACCACCACTTTTACCACTCTCATGATGTTACCTTCGACGAGATGCTCCCCTACTACCGGCGCTTCCTGCACCGTATCTCTCCTGTGCCTCCTCCTCCTCTCTTCCTTGTCCCTGCCCCGCCTGCCGCACCCCTCCCGCCCCGCCCGGCCCAGTCTTGTATCTCCCATGCCACTCAGTTCCCCTCGGTTGCGCCTGTGGGGGAGTTGGCTGACTCTGAGGGCCCAACTGCTGGGGGTGCTCCTGCTGTCCTTGTGGCGCCTCCCCCAGCCTCGCTACCCCAGGCACCTCAGCCGACTCCTCCCTTGCCCCAGCAGCAGCAGCTATCGCCGCAGCAGACTCAGTGGCCACAGCAGCAGTGGGCTCTAGGGGTGCTGGTTCTGGGGTTGCTAGTATTGGTGGGGTTGCTAGTATTGGCGGTGTTGGTGTTGGGGGTGCTGGTGTTGGTGGAGCTGGTGTTGGGGGTGCTGGTTCTGAGGGTGCGAGTTATGGGGGTTCTGACTCCGGGAATGCAAAATCTGTGGGTGGTGCGTCCGAAGGTGCTCGACTTGGGGGTGCTATCTCGGGGAGTGCCGGTGGCAACCGCGGTGCCGCTGGAGGTCCTGGAGAGGACATGGAGCAGCCGCAGCAACAGCAGCAGCCAAAGCTGCAGCAGCAACCGCAATAGCAGGCGTGGCTGCCACTATAGGAGCAGCCGCAGTCTGCCCTTCGTCTCCTTGGTCTTGCTCCGGGTTCCCCAGTCTGCCCGCCTATTCTCCCTCCGGTGCGTGACCCTGTTTACGGGCAGTTGTTCCCTCCTCCGGACTCCTTTCGGGCTCGTTTTCTCCCGCGCTCCCCTCCGTCCCCTGACTTGTCCCCTGTCCCCCCTCATTCACATTCCCTAGTCCTTCCCCACTGGGTCCGCCACCCCTCTGGTGCTCGTCCTGTCTCTCCCCATTGTAGTGTCCACCCTATGGTCCTTCGTTCACGTGCTTCTCCAGTCCCCGTGCTTCTGTTACCTCCTCTGTCGCCGCTCCCGCAGTCCCCCCCCCCCCTCGCTCAGACGCTGCTCGTACTGCTCGTCCTACCCTCTCGCGCTCGCTTGCGTCGCTTATCATTGACCCTACTGCTCCTCCTGAGTCTGTCTCTGCGCTTGTTGCTGTTGTCGTTGACTTTGCTGCTAGCCACCGCCTTGACTACGATGCCGCTCTAGTCTCTGGTACTGCCCGTCCTTCGTCTGTCGGGGTGCACCTTCCCTTGGCAGTGACGAGTTGGCCTACCTTGCTGCCGCTTTCCCCCATCTCTGCTCCATGCTTCTATCCCCAGAGGGCGACCCACACGCTCTTGACATCCCTGTTCTGCTCTCTTACGCTGAGGCGGTGTCGGGATCTTGGGCAGCCCAGTGGATACATGCCATGGAGGCTGACATGGCATCCTACAGATCCACTGGCACTTATGTCGACGCAGTTCCCCTGCCTGGGGCAAACGCAGTCGATGGCATGTGGATCTACATGGTGAAGCGCGCACCTGGAGAGCCGCGGAAGTTCAAGGCGCGTTACGAGACTAGAGGCTTCAGTCAGCGTGAGGGTGTGGACTTCTTCCATACCTTCTCTCCGACCTCGAAAATGACTTCTCTTCGGGTCCCTCTCCACATAGTTGCGCAGCGTGACTACGAGCTTCACTCACTCAACTTCTCCGCAACATTCGTGCAGGATAGTCTGCACGAGCAGATCTACCTCCAATGCCCACTAGGCTTCTTTGGGTCCTTCCCACCTAGGACCAAGTGGAGCATGTGTCGTTCTGTCTACGGACTTCGTCTGGCACCTCATGAGTGGCATGACACACTTCGCACCACTCTTGCTGAGCTGCAGTTCTTTCTGTCCTCTGCTGACCTCTCTTTCTTTGTTCGCTCGGGTCAGACCCCATTCTACATCCTAGTGTACGTAGACGATCTTATCTTTGCTACTCCTGATGGAGTCTCATTTCCAAGAGGGTACTGCGGTATCTGGCAAGTACATCAGGACTGGGGCTTGTACTAGGAGGACGGGAGCCAATGGTGCTCATTGGATACACATACGTGTCGTGGGCTGACGACGTGGAGACGCTCAGGTCGTCTCAGGGCTACTATTTTAGTTTTGGTGCTGGTGCAGTCTCTTGGAGGTCCACCAGGTTGCCGTCTGTAGCTCAGTCTAGTGGTGAGGTAGAGATCTACACTGGGGCCATGGCCTCTCAGGAGCTCCGCTGGCTATCGTTCTTGCTCACCGACTTAGGTGAGCAGCCTAGGTGTGCCCCGGTCCTGTTTGCTGACAACAGGGCCATGATCCTCCTGTGTCACGAGCCTTGAATTGAGGGCAGGGCGAAGCATATCCAATTGCGGTACTTCCTGCTGCGTGAGTTGCAGCAACGCGGTCAGGTTCGTGTAGTACAGTTGGCCTCAGAAGCCAACACAGCTGATATCTTCACCAAGGCACTTTCTCGTCGTGACCATCAGCGGTTCTGTACTCAGCTTGGTCTAGCTTCAGTAGCAACACCACTTTTTGTTTACAGAGTCATACTATACATGCTTGTACTTGGAGTTCGATCGGAATCTTGTGGCGCACTACGAAAGGGGACATGACGTCCCCGAGCTGCGATGCATAATCCTCGGCGTCAGACGGAACAGGTCCTGGAACTCGCGCTTCGACATCACGTTGAGTTCGTCCTTCCATTCCCGAATGCGTGAGCGCCGAGAGCGCTTGCGCATCATACGGCGTTGCTCGTCGTGAGTCCTACGCACCTCGTCATCGGTCGTTACCTCTGAGTCGGACATATTCCCTAGCCACTGTGAGGTCACCTGGGCAGCGGCAGCGTTGAAACACTGCCAGTAGTATGCGAACCACATGCGTAGAACTGCCTAGACAGCAGCTAGAGCGGCTGAATTCATAATGCCAGTGTAGATCCGAGACCGACGTCAACTGCTTTTTGTGCTAGCAGGATCATGCGCGCGCACGCGCACCCTCTGCTGCCGACTTGGTGTCATCACGATTTCGCTGGCGTCGCATTGTGCCCTGCTCGAGAGGTGGTTCTGTAACCACCAGCAATACACGAAGCGTCATAGGACACCTCCGGAATGTAGCGGCCTGCACTTCCGCAGCACGCCGTGGCGAGTAGTAGTAGTGCGTGTGGCGTTTATGCAGTAGGGGTCATGCCAGATGACACCTATCGGCTCTACATGCACTAGGGTCCTGGGATCGTGCGTTCATGCTTTGGCGAGAGTCCTTGAACGTGGCCGTCAGAGTGGGGGCCATCGGGTTAACGTATCTTAGGTAGACCGTCCGTTTTGTGCGACGTGGTGGTGCTCCTTCTCCATCGTTGGCCCACGTTATTGGTTGATGGGTTGAGTCGCTTTTTGCGTGCTCGGATGACACCTTCTCGAGGCTCACATTGACGCGGCTCGACTAGGGGTTGTCCGTCATTCACGGATGACACCAGCCAGAAACATGCCCTTGGTCTTGGCTCTCAACCCGAGTGGGGCCTGTCTCCTTGTTCCAAGTGTCTCCGACAAGGTAAAAATAGGGTTTCTAGGATAAATGAGGTGAAAACAGCATTATCCTGGCATATCAAATCCGTACTTAAGCTTTAGGTGTGCCAAATATCGTCCCCAATACCGCCTCCCTTTTCCCCACCAACCACTCCTCGTTCTTTTCCACCGCCCTCTTCACGTCCCATAAACCTGCTGCTCGTGAAAGCTCCACATGTTGCCTCTTCGCCGCCAGTCTTCCTCCTGCTCCTCCCGCATTCCACGCATGAATTCCATTCCCTACTTCGACCCGCCCCGCTGTTTCAGACGACGCAGCAGTTGAAGCCGAACCGGGGTCTTCGCAAGGGCAATCGTCTTTAGCCTTAACCGTAACCCTGTACATACCCTGGAAGACGCACGATCCGGATTCCGCAATTCGATGCGCAGTGCTGCCTTCCGAACAACACCGTGGGTAGCGCGAAACGGAGAGCGAAAGCGCAGCATCCGCGAACGCTCTGCGCGATTGAAGAGTTAGAGAGCGAGCTTTAGGAAGCTGGTTGCGCGCGACCCCGTTGGCTGGTCGTCTAGTGTCCTTGGCAGGCGGGGAGGCCGCCGCGATAGGGTCGCCTGCCGCAATCTTGAGACGCTTTTCGCTTTTCTCCAAGTGAGGAGAGCTAGGCTCGACGACCCTCGCCTTCTCTTCATATCCATTATAATTTCTCTCAGGGACTGAGTCGGCAATATCGAGGGATATGAGGCTGAGAGAGGCGAATTCGTCCAGGAGCTCCGAGAACCGGACTTGCCGCTTCTGTCGGTTCTGCGACACGGACTCGGATTGAAACCGAGCCGGACTCGCTACGGCGCAATGGGACTCCACCGCAGCATCACCTGGAGACGACGTCATCAAAGCGGCGCTTGCGGAATCTCCGATACTCGCGGTGTATAGTCGAGGTGAAATGAAAGCTCGCGGATGGAAGAGAGATAAGTTCAGGAGTAGTGGAGATTGGACGGAAAGGCGGCTGAAACTCCGGTTTTGAACAAAGACGGCTGAAACTCCGGTTTTGGATGAGCTGAAAATAAACGCCCTTTCGCTTATCATCCGCTGCGAGAGACGTTCCGCTAGGGAGGAATTCATTGTCAAGATACAGCATGCCTGGTTATTGTTTATCGGACCACAGGCGGCACGGATTGCAATGCCATCATTAGCTTCGAACACATAACGAAGATTGGAGGGAGGAGGGGGAAGGGAGGTGGGTGGGAGAAGCTGGCAGCGCTGGGGCGAAATGAACGAAGAGCGACGAAGGTGGACGTCTCGACGAAAAAGATACACCACTCATCAGAGATCTTTCGCGGCGGTTCGAAAGGATGAGCATGAGAGCTGCTGCATCTGACGAAGGATCACGGCGAAGGACTCCGACCCTGTTGCTCCCGTCCAACTGGCTAACGAAATACAGATACGAGGGATGCACCGGGCCTTGTGCAAGGCTGGCGCGAAACGACATGACAGCTGGGTAACCCGCTCGTGGATCACATTTCCAGGCGAACTGGTATCATCTGCTGGCTGGCGAAACGATAGAAAAAGACAGCATGGCAGCTTTCGCAACACTCTAATATTTGTGGCTGGTACTGTAGCCCGGGACCACGTGATGTGCAAGAAAAGCAGGTTATACAGCGGGTATGCCATTAGGTCCACGACATTTTACTCCATGTAATACTCCAAGATCCGAAATTTGATAAGATCCACCACGATGTACTCCGGTTGTACGGTAAACATCTACTGTTGACTTCGCTAAAAAAGCGCCAAAAATTGTGACCAATCACGACAGTCGCATAATGCCACCGAGCATCGAGTCGCGCCACTCGAATTGGGTGCGATCTCAGCATGCGAGTGTCGTCAACCAACCCGCGAGTGCGAGCTTGGAAATTCCTCGTGAATTGTGTTTGGAATTGCCCGGCCAATACGCGCTTGCCAGGGCGATCAGACGTAATCGCGACGGACCGGGGGGCGACAGCCAGCTGGCATGGGCATGAATCCGTACCCCCTTTCCATCCATTCTGTATTATTATTACGGTCCTATTCTAATCCTCGTGTCAAGAACATTCGAGGCGTTTTCCATATTTTAGAACCAATGACGTAACTATTCAGGCTTTCCGCGTGACACAAACAGGTCCGTCCTGAATACGAAAACACGACTCACGGTCTCTCAATCACCATTAACCAATGCACATTTCGAAAATGATTTTCTTAAATTGTTTTTTTCACCTTCGTGAAAGTGTGCGATTGGTTAACGAAACCGCTCAGGCGAGTCGTCATAATTTCGTTACGTTAAGCCCTTTTCGTAAGGCCACGAAAAGGGCTTTTCAAATTATATGATTTGCGCGTTTTGAGCCTCCGCTGCTTGCGGAAGGTCGAGAACGAGGTGTTACTTCTATTGTCCGTGGTAATTCTGACCAGACGACAAATTCGCCGAACGTTTTTTAAGAAGCCATATGAGCCCTCATATGACACACGGCGAAATCGCTGGTAACCTGGCCTAAGGGCCAATACGCCAAGGCACCCATCGTGAACAGAAATAGTAAAACGGCCTACGCCACCCCACCTAAAACCGTACGTGCTACTCGATAATCCATTTTGCCCGTAGTGAACCGCTCCTATTCGTCGTAGTCCATATTTGCGAGTCGCGGATTTGGAGCATAGAGCATACCCTCTGTACCGCGCTTTATTCGACACCACTAGAAAAGTGGCGGGAAAGTCCATCACGTTCAATTCCTGGTCATGGATAGGTAATAAAAATCTGGCATGAATGGGGATATCGTAAGCTGATGATTACCTGCCACCCACTAAAAGACACCAGTCGCATATTCGGTGTGGGAATATTTGCATGTAGGGCATAATCTAGAACATGGTGGTTGGGCTGAGAAAAAGCCTTCAAGATTTTTCCAGAGAAGTCCACTTGTACAAGATACTTGAGTAGTGCAGCGGAAGTGTTGAGTAGTTGAACCCTTGCACTAGTATGTGAGAGCAAGTGATTGATTAAAAGAAACAAGCATACAGCAATATATAGAAAGAAGGAAATAGAGCAGTTGTAGAATACAGTTGAAGAAACGGTTATCGAGCCATACAGCGACTCGATCAATGGTTCGGTTACCACATTGCAGTCGTAACGGTCAGTCGCAACCTCCGGTTGCGATCCTTCGAGTCCCTTCGTCCTTTCGTGTTCTTTCGTCCTACCTCCTCGTGTAACCTCCGTTGACTCGCGTACTCGATACGACATTTCTTCGAGTGTAGTGTTACACTTCATAAACGCTTAAGTCTTCGAGGTATTTCCAACACTCCCCTTCGTTTCTGGAGTGCTGACGTATCCGGATTCGGTGACGTTTATCTGCCCGGTCAACAGCATGCAGTAATCGAACTTTGCCTTTGCCAGTTTCTTCGTCAGGTAATCTGCAGCCATTTCTGTCGTGGGGCAGTAACTGAGTTGAGTCTCCCCTTCGCGATCTCATCCTTGACAAAGAAATACCGCAGAGCGATGTGCTTGGTTCGATTGGCGAACCCGTTTTTGTTCGTGATTTTGATCGCGGATTGGTTGTCGCAAAATAGCGAGAAGACGGGCATGGTCGCGATTTTTGCTTCCTCGAGTAGCTCCCGTAGGTAAAGTCCCTCTTTGGTCGCAGAGTAGAGAGCGATGTATTCCGCTTCAGCCGAGGATAGTGCGATTAGTTCCTGCTTGCTCGATTACCAGGAGATAGTCTCGATAGGCTCTAGTTGGTAGATGTAGCCCGTTCTGGAGCGACGATTCTCCCTATGTCCCGCGTGGTCGGTGTCGACGTAGCCGAGTAGCTGTACGGACGATGGCGTTACTTTGGTGTAGGTAAGTCCGGTCGTCGGCATAGAGACGAAGTAGAGCAGTGCCCGATTTAGCTCCTCGAGATCCTCTTGCTCCGGCTGCTTCAGGTGTGTCGCCAGTTGGCTCGCGCTGTAGGACAGGTCAGGTCGGCAGGTTATTGTTGCGAACAGTAGACATCCGAGCTTTTGTTGACATTCCTGAATTTGCTTCGCGGGGAGCTTTACGGAGGTTTCGCTGTTGTTCCCGTAGCGATAGGGAGTCGCGACTGCGACTGGCGTTAGGCCGAATTTCTTCGCGACAACACCTGTGTATTTTCCGACGTGTAGGTAGAACGCCGAGTCGTCTTCGACGATGTTTAGACCTAGGTACTAGCTCACGCTGTCTGACACCGTGAGTGTTAAGTCACTCCTCAACTCCCCTTCGAACCAGCTGGCGACGTCGGTAGTGGAGCCGACATAGAGTAGGTCATCGACGTAGACGATGAGTAGGACGAAGTCCCCCCCCTTTTGTACTCGGTACATGCCTTGATCGTGCAGCAGCTGCAGAAAACCGATCCTGACGAGGCGGCGGTGAAGGTGCTGCTACCAGAGCCGCGGGGCTTGTTTAATTTCGTAGAAGGATTTTACCAGCTGGCATACTTTTGGGGCTGCTCGACGAAGATTTCGGCGTCCACAGGTGCGTACAGGAAGGCGTTGGCGACATCGATCTGGCGCAGTGATAGCCTTTTCGTGGCCGCGACGGCGAGCAGAATGCGCTCGGAAGTATGTCGGGAGACTGGGGCGAATGTCTCCGTGTAGTCGGTTCCGTATCACTGGTCGCATCCTCGCACGACCCAGCGAGCCTTGAAGCGGTCGATGGAGCCATTCGCATTAGTCTTGATGCGGTACACCCATTTCCCCGAGAGCACATTCTTCCCGTTGGTTTTTGTTGCAGGTACTTGCTTCCACGTATTTCGGTCTTGCATGGCCGTTAGTTCCTTTTCCATTGCTTCCTTCCATTTCGCCTTGTGTTCCCCCCCCAGAGCCTGCGACAGAGTCGTTGGCTGACGCGGTGACAGCGGCGGCGGGCTCTGGACGGCGACCCATAGTCCAAGTATTTGCAGGCCCGTGGGTGTGTGTCGAGGGGAATTGTCATTCTCGGGATAATTTGCTTCGTCACCGTCCTCGAGGTCAGGTAAGAAATTGGGTCCGATGCGTTCGGAGATATTTGTATCGACTGGTTGAGGTGTAGTGAAACCTTGGTCAGCGAAGTGGTAATAAGTGTCAAGGTTGTTACTATCGAGAGGATTGTCGTTGTCTAGTGGAGCGGGCACGGAACAGTATGGTAGTGGTCCGGCAACTTCCGAGGCTTCAGGTACGTCTTCTTCCGCTGCGTCAGCTTCGGCGGCACGGTCGGCGAAGGACCGATGGCCCTCGAAGCCGTCGGTGGGGTCTTCTGTGTTGGCGATGTTGTCCAGGTAATGCTACAGTGTCAGTCGCTCATAGAAAATCACATCACGTGAGGCCATGTTTCTTTTGTCCTGAATGTCAAGAAGTTTCCATGCCTGGAAATGTTTTGCGATGCCGAGGTGTAGTCCCCACCGTGCTCGTTGAGAGAATCGTCCTGCTCGGGCTGTGTGGGGTCTGTACTGTACCATGCAGCCGAAGACTCGAAGTAATTTTGTGCTGCCCAGTTTTCATGTCCACAGCAGGTGTGGTGATGCGTTGTTGGGAAGTGACGTCGAGGACAGCAAATTGTGCAGATGGACTGCATGCGTCATCGCGTTAGGCCAAAGCGTGTTGGGCAGTCTCATCCCCAGGAGCAGCTTCCGCATCGTCGTCTGCAAGGTTTTGTTCATCCTCTCTATGACCCCCTGGTGTTGGTGAGCGTAGGGCAGAGACACCAGGCGTCTGATGCCTCTTTCTGCCAAGTAGTTCCTGAATCGTTATGACTGGTACTCCAGTGCCCCGTCTGACTGGAAACTCTTGAGTTGCGAGCCCGATTCTCGTTCAGCGATGGGGAGCCACGTCGTGAAGGCTTCGAACGCTTGATCTCGTGTCTTGAGGTTGTAGTGCCAGACGTATCGTGTTGCTGCATCGATGAACGTGATGACATAGTTGTAGTCGGCTTCACTGTCATCTCGAGGCATATTTAAGATGTCGCTGTAGACTTTTTCCATCGGTTCGTATGCAGGTGCACTTGGATTGTAGTGCGACGGGAAAGGTTGGTGTGGAAGATCAGCTTCGGGGCACGTGAAGCATTGTGCGCGGGGTCGTCGAAGCTCCTGGCCGCTCGTTGTGAGAAGAGCGTCCTTTTCTAATACTCTGGCTTGTATGGTTTGTAGTACTATGCTGTTTGCAGGGTGTCCGAGGCGTGGATGCCAGATGTCGTCGGGAGCGCGATGGCCGGGTGAGCGCTGGTACACGTCGGCGTTGGAGAAGAACGCGACGACCGTGGCGGGACTGCACCAGACTCCTCGAGTGATGGGCGTGAGTTGATCTGCTTCGGATGGTGGTCCTCGGATTGCTGGTGATGGCATACGAATGGGTCCTGCTGCTGCTACTGCAGGTGATGTTGGAGGAGGGATGTTTGCTGGTACTTGTCGTTCTTGGCAGATGAGTGCTAATGCTCGTGTTTGTTCTTCTGCAGGGATGGTGTTGGAGTGCCAGAAGCCATCCGGGGTAAAGGCGGGGTCAAGATCCGGCGGGTGCGTCCAGACGGCAAACGACACGATGCCATCGCTGTCGGCAGTACCGCGGTCGGGGACGAAATCCAGCACCAAGATGCCCGACTTCAGGAGAGCGCGACCGATGAAGAGGCCTCCCTTCCCATGGTAGAGACGAAACTCGTTGTCGTCCGAATCGCATTCCAGGTGAATACCCTTTGCCATTTCCTGGCTTACGCTTAGT